ATAGTATAATATTCAGTCTTTAAAATGGTTTTGCAGGTGAATTTTATGATAGAAAGATGCGTGGAATGTATTAAGTGATTTTCGATTTGTTTATAAAATAAAAATCCAGTTTATTCATCTGTTTATGACACAGTACACAAGAGGCAATGTGTTTCACATCATAGGTTTTACTTCCAATGCCTTGCCTTGGACTGTTCCTTTCTTTAGCTAAAATGAGAGACTAACTAGGAAAGCCAGATAATGCTTACATAACTAAAATAAGTTTGGGGGTACATGGACAATGTTAATATCATCCTTACAGGGATGGACACATAGGGACTATTAGTCTCAAGCTGATTTTCTAGAACTGTTAGCTGGAAACATAGGAACACTACTGGATGCTTATGCCGGCTGGAGTTTCAGTGAGCCCCACCACAGGCATGGCAGCACTCTCTGGTAATCGCCCTTGCTGTCTTTCTGGATAGAGTCACAAAAATAGAGGCTTGTTCTGAATACACTGGAACAGGTCTCCTTTGACCCCCTTCTTAATCATAAAGACTATAGCTCTTGTACCTTTCAAATACTTCCTGGAGGTGACATACCCTCTGCTCAGTCATGATGCTGATCCACTTGGGAACATCAGTTCCTTTCCTCTTCACTCTTGGGTCAGTCAGTTTATAATCAGTGACAGAGCCACCTGCTGCTCTTCTACCCTTTGCAAGGGCAAACATCAGCTTCTGAAAGTCACTAGATATGCCAACAACGTCCTTCTCCAGATCACTCCTGTACATTTCCTTGTAGACTGTTCATTTCTTGCAGTTCCTGGTGGGTCCTTGAGCAGATATCTCAGTGAGGGAGTCCTCATCAGTCTCCAACACCTTCATGGAGGAGGCTCTCAACTTGGAAGCCTCATACTGAGCAGTTTTTTTCAGTAGGCCCCAAATCACTGTCTCCAGGTGGCTAGACAAGGCTGGTGTCAGTACTGATGTAAGTTCCTTTTTGGTCCTTCTCTTTTCATTGCTGTGGCTGGTCATATGTTGACTGGTGACCTCATCCATTTCTTTAGTCTTGATTGTCATTTCAGTGTTCAAAGTATAAAACTTGGTGTATGCTTTGACAGACCTGTATGCACTTATGGGTGTAGAGTGGTCACTCTTCCAGCTAAGTTTCCACAGATTTTCGTGAACAGTGGGCATTTTGATAGAAGCCAGCCCAGGAGCTGAAAGCTGCAAACATCCCTAGATGCAGACCCAGAATATATCAAGTTTTATATATATCCCAAACTGCAAAATAGTATGTGCAGTAGGATCCAGGTCTGGAAAAATAAACACAGATATTTACTATAGTCATCTCTGGATGGTGGGTGATGCTGGGATTTTTTTCTCTATTAATTATGTTTTATACTGAGCATATATTGCTTTATAATGAAAAAAAGTGAGTCAATTTCTGTTGAAAAAATAAAAGATCAGGATAAGTGGGTGGAGCACAGAGGATATTTAGGGCAGTGAAACTACTTGATACAATACTGTAATGATGGATACATGTCATTATGCATTTGTCCAGACCCATAGAATGTACAACACCAAGAGTGAACCCTAATGTAAACTATGGACTTTGTGTCAATGTATGTTCAGCTATTGTAACAATTTACTACTTTTGTTTAGCTTTTAATGATGGGGGAGGCTATGCTTATGTGAGGGCAGGGAAAATCTCTGTACTTTCCACTAAATTTTGCTGTGAACCAAAAACTGCTCTAAAAATTAATTCTATTGAAATTAATTAAAATAAAAGACCAGATGGGAAAAACGATGAATGCTGAATAGTAGGGAACAGATACTCTAGTTTTATAACTGCTATATATAATCCAAGTTGTTGCCAAGTTGTTATTTAGATCATTAAACACAATTCTAGAAGTGTTTGATGATGGTAGTGATAATGGTGGTAATGGTAGTAGTAGTTACCATTCTTTGAGCACATACTATGTACCAGGTTCATTATCACCATTACACATTTAATATAAATAGATGCTTGAAAGATCTCTGTTACAATGCTCAAAACAATATTCCATATGGCAACAAATCATATATCCAATATATCCCTTTTATGTAAGTTTGAAAATTTTTTTATTAAAGTATAGTTGGTGTACAATATTTTTTAAATTTATTTAAATTAGTTTCAAGTATACAGTACATTGGTTAGACATCTATATAGTTCATATAACGATACCCCCAATTGCTCCCTCCCTCCCCTGGCCCTCCACCTAGCCATCATATTAATGCTGACTGCATTCCCTCTGCCGTGCTCCCCATCCCTGTGACAATGCATCAGCT